GTATCAATAATAATAATAATAATAATAATAATAAATTCGCACAGATTTGTTTGTCAGTTTCACAGGCGAGAATTGCGATGGAAGAAACTGTTAGCATAGAACTTACGGTTGCATGTAGCAATTTCAACAATATAATTATGAAATCCAGCTGCTAATCTCGTACTTCGCTTAAGTCTGGCTACCAAAGAGAAATGCTCACCAGAACAATTATCATAAACATATGTAGAGAAAAGGCACAGGAAGCTACATTACGGCGGTGGAAAACTTACAAAGCCGAGATGCCAGATCAAGAACGATAACATTGCAGATTCTTCTCTGGATTTTGTCAAGAATCTCTCTCTCTCTCTCTCTATATATATATATATATATATATATATATATATATATATATATATATCGCATCTATATCTATCCCAGTAAGAATTTTTTTGACGTCTGCTCGTATTTGTCTATCTCAGTATGTATCTCAGTCTGGTCCTATCTATCTATCTATCTATCTATATATATATCTATCTATATATATATATATATATATATATATATATATATATATATCAAAAGCAACGATATTCTATGCATGGACGAATGGTAGATTTATAAACATGTAAGATTCTGGTGAGAAAATTATCTAGCCCAACATAGTGAACAAACTTTCCTCTAATGATAGTAATAATAATAATAATAGTCTACGCTAGGCATGGCTCTCATGGCTTCTCATCTTAATTCATTGGAGGTGTTAACATGGATGTTTTTTATCCTTGCAAAATAAAATGGGCGGCAGTAAATATCCTATTCAGTAATGAAAAGTTAACTCTACTAACTTACTTTGCTGAAACCACTGATAGGGGACGCTCTCTGGACTATAAATATATTTTCTCACTCTGTTCTTACTTTTCTCCTTACACGTTAACATGTAAGTCTCTCGCGGAAAAAAAACGCGTTTCCCATTGAGAAACGCCTGAACAAAACACACACACATAACACACGTACGTATGCACATCCACTCACTTCCCATCCTTTGGATCAAAAAAGGTTTTCATATTCTTTTGTTACACACATCATTGTCTTTGTCATTTGTATAACTTTCTTGTTAATATATATTCATTTGTTTGTATATATATATATATTGGTTCTTGTTGTTTCTTTGGATTTCTTCCCGTGGACTCACATACCGAGTCCGCCATTTTCCGTATGGTTATTCCAGGTAACACGTGTTTTTCTTAAGAGAAACACACGACGTATGTAACGCCACCGACAGTATCACAGACTTGCTTGTTGGTTGCCTCATCGAATAAAGATCTTTTTTTTCTTTTTTTTTTTGCCACCATGAAATTTTATTAGCCTCTTCGCAACTTTTTCTCTAGCTTTCCCTGTCAAATTGTATCTCCACGTGTAGAATATTTACAGTAATAATATACTAACAGTCCACCCACAAGCACAACCTGGATCAAATGGTGACATCGACGATATCAGGTTGTTCTTTACACAAACACATGCATGTCTATCTATATCTATATATATATAGTTATATTGCTTTAAACGTATGGATACACGTGTTTGACTTGCTATACATGTTTTTCTTTTGTCTTAAACAGAGAAATTGACCTATAAAGAAAATAAGTAAATTGAACTGCGTTTTAGCAAGACGGTCACCAAAAGACACACTTCAGCTATAGGGGCTATAAAGATGCATCTCTCTCTCTTTCTCTCTCTCTCTCTCTCTCTCGCTCTCTCTCTCTCGCTCTCTCTCTCTCTATATATATATATATATATAAAAAATATTAAGGAATCATTTGGAAATATATATATATATATATATATATATATATATATATATTTATATAAGTAAACCGAATGGGTAATTCCAAGGAGGATGAAATCCTGAGAGCTCAATGTGAATCCAGAGCTAATATTTCACCCCTCCGACCCCAATATAAAACATGCTTAAGAGAAATATGAAATTTACCCCTCCCTATACTCTACCTTGTCCGTTAACTACAACTATCACCCCTCCCTGTTAAATTACAAAAATACACTACCCATCAATTTCTAATCCCATTTTTCCTTTCATTTCGTTGTTGGAATTGTTACCTGATGATCCGAGTCCTTTAAAAAGGATTTTGGTGAAATAAATTATTGTAATGGAACCTTTAAAGTGGTCTGTTTTTCCATTAAATATATATATATATATATATATATATATATATATATATATATATATATATATAAATTTTGAAGAAAATTTAAAACAAACAAAATTTAAATTTAGTTAAAATTTTAATAAACCTTTTCAAGATATTCATTTTTTTAAAAATACGATGGACATAAAACACAAGTCTTATTCAGAACAGATAACTGAAAATTTTTAAAATGATCAGCCTTCCGTCTGATATTTTTTCATAACGTATTCCTAAAAAGTTTGTGATTATTTTGAAATGAAAAATGAAATGAAAAGAATTTTTAGGTTCTAAAATTTATTGTTTTTGTCGAGCATTCTCGCTAAAAAATAAATATTAAAGAAACCAGGTCTCGTATTCACCGTAGATGGATATTATACCTGCTATAAATCCTCCTGAGATTTTTTTTATATATATTTTAATATTTCACGGAATCGAAATCGAAATTATGATCTGCTTTTAGTTGGGTGTACAACTAAAGCATTATTAAAATTATTCGAAAACACGAGATTTTTGAGACCCTACCTGTTTCACCCACATATATTTATCATTTTTGGATGATATTTGATAGATGCAAGCATCGGATGTAATATGTTGTCTGCTGGTGCTATTTAATAAACTAGGTCTAATATTAGTAGGTAATATAGAGTTCTATTTTTAATGCATTTAGATTATACGAGATACGTTCGGTCAAATACCAAATACCATTTGACCACGGTTACTAGACCTGGTTTCTTTAATATTTCCCCTTTTAGCGAGATTGATGCTCGAAAAGCAGACACATAAGAATTTTAGAACCTAATAGAATTCTTTTCATTTTTTTTTCATTTCAAAATAATCACAAACTTTTAGGAAACGTTATTTGAAAGCGTCGCCCATGTGACGACAGATGACCATGTTAGACTGAAGGCTGATCATTTTAAAAATTTTCAGTTATCTGTTCTGAATAAGACTGTGTTTTATGTCCATCGTATTTGTCATATTGAACTGAATTGTATTTTGATGAATATTGTCTTGAAAAAGGTTTATTAAACCGAAACGTCAGACGTTGACATTTTCTTTCATTTTAACTACATTTAAGGATTTTTTTGTTTGTTTTTTTATATATATATATATTTTTTTTTATTTTATTATTTATATATATATATATTTTTTTTATATTTTATATTTTTTTTTTGTTATTTTTAATGATTCGTTAATATTTCATATATATATATATATATATATATATATATATATATATATATAAGAATTAACGAATCATTTGAAAACAATAAAAAATTTGACGAGTATTCAAAACAGTGGAAAATTTTACAAAATCAATATATGAAAAACTGGTTATCGAATGTCAAAGAGCCATTATGATCAGCTACGCGTTGTCTAGCAAATCCCCCTGCTAGAGCGGCTAGCTAAACCCCGTTGTAGACGCCTGATCAGGCCAATCAGTGTTTCTTTAACACCCACAGAGCCCACCTTTGGTTTATACTGCAACTATGCAGAGCAGATCTTAGTTACAGTGTCTGGGAGAGAGAGTGTATTATCTAGCGTGATCAACAATCTGATCAAGGCCAGCACACTCAAACCCTTGGTCATGATGACTTGTGACTTTGTGCTAGCACAGCTAATGACATCCTCCAAGTGTTCCATCTACCCAATTTCACTCACAAGGCTTGTGTCAACCCTAGGTATGGTTTTTAAGGCACTGTCATTATTAACCGATCTCTTTGCTCTGCTTACATCAAGTGTACAAGTTAACAGACCTGGGGATATATAATGAATTCCATCCTTTTATCACTGGGATTGCCCCCTCCAGACCATTAATATCAGGAAGTCTCCTTCCTGACAAATCAACTGAACCCAGGTCTCATGGTCAGAAAGCAAACGTTCTAACCACTTGGCCATGCATCCATATATAAATATGTAAAGTACACTTGAAAGTCATTTCCTAAATTCAACACCCATAGAGCCAACCTGTGGTTTATACTGCAACTATGCTGAGCAGACCTTAGTTACAGTTTCTGGGAGAGAACGAATAATTTGGCGTGAGTAACTGTTTCAAAAATGCCAATTGGCTCAAAATCACAATCACGATGACTTCGAAATAGCTCCATCTTTCCAATTTCACTCCCAAGTGGCATAGTGTTCAGGCATTTTACAAATTTGTTCGGCGTTAGAATTGCATCGCTAGTCTGATAACATTAAGAAAACATCTTCCTACCAAATTGACAAAGGTGACATTAGGACTCGGGTCCCATAGTCAGAATCAGTTAAGTGCCATACACGCTTTGGCGATCATATCTCTTTCGATTCATGACTTAACTAGGCAGAAGATTTTCCAGAAGTAGGCTGCTCTTGCCGACCAAGATTATAGGTCCCAGTCTCTCCTGCAATCCAACTAATAGCTGGAGGTGATGAGAAGAGATGGATTCATGCCTTTCCCAAGGTTATTTAAGCAAAAGTAACGAACCTGACTGGAATTCGAACTCGGCTCTCCAGTTTCCCATTTAGAGCCATTATCTATTATATGACACCGCACATCCTATGATCAGAATAAAGAGCCCATAATCACATGGCAAACTTTAAAATAATAATTTATTTAAATTTAAGAAATGATGTGATAATTGAATATATGTTAATACAGCATATCTATTTTGGATTTCAGTATCAATAAAAAAAATGTATTGCACTTCGATTGTCTTCATAAAATATTACATCACAAATTAATATTAAATATTGAATATAAATATTTAATATTAATTAATATTAATAATAATATCAAATGTTATTGGCTGATACTCACACGATATATCTTTTTTCATGTAAATGTATCCTGAAAAATTTGCCAATATCGACGGATTAATACTAATAATATCTATCTATCTATCTATCTATCTATCATTGTCTGTTTGTATCTTAGCTGATCCATCAACCTGGTTTTATCTGTCTGTGTTTCTCTCTCAGTCTTCATCTATCTATCTATCTATCTATCTATCTATCTATCTATATATATATATATATATAGGACTCTTTTCTTCTTCTTTTATAATCATCACTTATCTCTCTCTCTCTCTATATATATATATATATATATATCTATCTATATATATATATCTATCTATATATCATATATATATAGGATCCATCAACCTGGTTATATCTTTTGTCTCTCTTTTCTTTATCAATTCATTTATCTCTCTCTCTCTTTATTATCTATATACTATATATAAATGTCGATTTGTTATAAATCAGTATAAAACAATCATTCTATTTATCTATCTATCTATCTATGTATGTTTTTATCTTATATGATCCATCATATATATATATATATATCTAGATAAATATCTTTTTCATGAAAATCTCTGAGGACATTCTTTATCACTCGCATCCCTTTTCATTGTCTAAACTCTCTTTCTCTCTCTCTCTCTCTCTCTCTCTCCCTCTCTACCACCTGTGAGCTATAATCTCCAGCTATATATATATAATTGCCTTGATCCATCAACCTGGTTAAATCTGTCACTCCTAGTTGATCTTGCAACAAACTTTCTGTAACCCCTTGCGTCCTAGTGGCTTCCCGCCTTGCTTAGGGTGTCTGTCTTTCTCAAATCTGTATATATATCTATCTATGGCTATTCATATCAGTTCACAAGTCCATTTTTGTATGTCTGTCTTATCTATCTATCTATCTATCTATCTATCTATCTATCTATCTCTATCTATCTATTCATTATCTATCTATCTATCTATCTATCTATCTATCTCAATCCATTCATAGCCAGCTATCTGAACTTTCTTATATATGTCTGTTTTTATCTATCTATCTATCTATCTATCTATCTATCTATCTATCTACTCATGGTTAATGATTTATAAAGACAATAACATTATAAATTTGTAAAGACAATAACATTGTTTTGTTTTTTTCAGCACTCTTCCGAACATATATTGCATGTAAAGAAAACCATATTTTCTTTTCATATGAGTGAACAAGTGATGACGATATTTCTACAGTTATTCATGGCATTGCTGATTATCAGATTACCAACCCTCTATGACGTCATAGCATATGCAAAATCAGGTCAAAATCAATGTTTCTCATGTCTTGTGGAGTGCCCGAATCCCAAAGGAGCCCGAGCTCCACTCCCTGCTGCAATGTTGCCATCCACACTTCTTTTGGCTAGAGAGGTTGCTCTGCCACACACACACACACACACACATCTTCTCTCTCACTCTGTCTTACATTTTCAATCTCTCACCTCTCTCTCACACAAGCACTCCCTCTTTCTCACGCGTCTCTCACACGCATATGTTTGTAAACACATTTTATTTTCTCCAACAAATACCAACATACGTGAAGACGAACAAAAACCCGAATACAAAACTAATCTTATATACACGATGAATTAAGCTGGCGATATATTTAATCATTTCACCTCTATCTATCTATCTATCTATCTATCTATCTATCTATCTATCTATCTATGATAGGCAATAAAGTCACTAAGATGCAAGAGGGTTATTGAATATTAGGGAATATGAGAAAAAATATTAAGGAGGCGCAATTTTCAATAAAAGAATTGAAAAATAGATTTTCCTAAAAAGAAGTAGAAGCTAATAGGTCGATAGTTGCAAGGATCGGACGGTTCACCAGAGTTCTTAAAAACGGAACCAAGAGATGATGACTTCCATCAGACAGGAAAGCAGGAGGAAACAAGTCATTTATTATAGAGTTTAGAGAGAACAGGAGCCAGTTCGAGGGCTTTTAAGCGTTTCACCCCAAGCAAGATGAGAAGCCACTACGGCGCAATGGGTTACAGAAGATTTGGAGCAAGATAAGATAGGAGTGATAGAGGAAAGGATGAGAAGAAGGATTGTGGATAGATCAAGGCAACAGGAGATGTCGATTGACATTACATTATGAATAGTTGGAGATTATAGCTCTTAGGGAAATTGGAATAGGGAAGGGAGTTCCACAGGCGAGAGGTGCGAGACATGAAACTATTGAAGTAGAAGAGACGGCTATATTTAATAGCTTCGACAGTGAAAGGGTGAGAGCGGGATGCCAGCCTCGTAGGGCGCTTGAATTCATGAAGTCTGGGAAACAGCGAATGCTGCTCCTTGGAGCAATTACCATGAAAGTATTTCTAAAAAAGACAGAGGGAGGCGACGACGCGTTTGTGGGAGAGCGACTGCAGACGAGATGCCAGAACAAGGCCAATTATATTGCATATCCACCTCTGGATCTTGTTCAAGAACCCCCAGGCAAACAGAAGGGGCTCCAGACCATATATGGCAGCAATACTCCATGCAAGGGCGAAATTATTACAAGGATACTATCGGGTGCACGTCCTTTGTCGGGATCTACGTTAGAGATGATAGGAGAAACTATGGAGGAGGTTATATACATATCACTCAACAGAGACTCAATTCTAAGTGGGAACTTAGGTAGGGATGCCCCAGTGAGTCAAGAGCAGAGTTTGAGGAGAATTTGCGAGAAAGCATTCAGCTTTTGTCAGAAGAGAATGATAACACCTCAAATTGATTAAAGAGGAGAGGAATAGAGACCTGTTATGGAGAGATTTCACAGTGGAGGCTTGTATTTGTACCAAGTCGGTCCTAAAATAGGTTCGACGTACAAAACGTTAGGAACTTGATATAATAAGCAATGACGCAGAGAAATCTAGTTGTGGTCGCTGATACTTTAGTATCCGACTAACTGTCGTCCGGCATCGACTGACTGACGAACTCACTGAACCACTTTCGTTACTCTTACTACTCCTACTTATTATAGCTGGGAGAGTCTATTAACTATAGAATAAGTGTGTTCCACTATAACAAGACCTTAAACTTATTTAATACCCAATTACAGAGCCGCCAGTAATCACGAGCTGTAAAGAGGTCATGCGGTGCCTCATTAGACAAACAGGGACTTAGCCCATTCGAGTGTTCGTTTACATTTATTATGAGCAGCAAAAAATAGTCTCCTGTTGTGACCAGAGGTGTCACACTGGTATAACCGAAAATAGTTGTACCTGTGTTCTATAGCAGCCGAGCATGCTGGTTTGAACCATGGAGAGGATTGAGGTTTTACCTGGTATTTCCTAGAAGTGATGAAAGCATCCGTGTTGGCTTTGATCCAAGAAGAAACCTCAGAGGCGCAATTTTCAATTGGGAGGTTAAAGATGCTAGTTGAAGGGTCGTCACGAAGATAATCACAGAATAAGTCCCAATCAGCATGCTGATAACGGAAAGAGGTCTTATGGATAGGGAGTTCCTGTTTAATAGATGACTGGAATGAAATATTGTATATCAATAGATACCAAAAAGTGGTCTGAGTTACGAAGAGGGGAGTGTTGCAAAGCTGGGCAAGAGCGAGAAAAGGAGGTAAGAAATAAATCAATTAGAGAAGCTTGTAGTTCGGTTTTGCTAGGGAAACAAGTAGGGAATTTCACGATTTGAGTAAGGTGTTGCGCAATGGAAAAATTTAATGTCCAACAACATCAGTACTTTCAGAATGTTTCAGCCACTTGTCGTGGTAAGTATTAAGGTCACTGAAGACAAAGATGAAGAGAAAGTTCCTTTTCTATACTGTTAGCTATCATGTATAATATACTGCAGTCCTGGAAAGAGGGATAGCGATAAAGGAAAAAGAGATAGCTAACAGAGTTTAATCACGAAAGACGGAAGAACATGGAAGTGTAGTCTGAGGCTCCGAGAGACAATTCCCGGGTCATCGGAAGATTATCCGGGATATAATCACCAAGGCTACGCATGTGAATGGTGGAATCTCTTCGGCAAAGGAGACGATATACTTGAACCAAGAGTTCATTGGTAGCAATGGAAGAATTTAAATTCGTTCCAAAACGGGCAAAGATATCTGATGACCGTTCCAAGAGAAAGAAAATCTGCAGAAGTTGGAACTGATACCACGAATATTGGAGAAAGAAAGGTTTGCTGGGAGCGGGGGACGTCGGTGATTTTTTTTTTTTTTGTTTACTGGTTTACGTGTATATCTTTTCATTATGTTTTTCATGAGATTTGTGTTGAGGAGAAAGAGAAAAGACCACAATAATTAACTCTATCTATCGTCCATGGCAATACAAACTAACCAGAAATGGGGCTGATAAACAGAGTATAATGTGGCCTCGGAGTTGCCAACCAGAAATACATGCAGGGACATATACCCATTTGCGACATGGCACTACAAATAACCCGATATTATGCGACTGTTGATCAGAGCAGCCTCTCTAAACACTACCAAAGAGTTCCGATGTATCATATATAACACCCACAAGCGCTCAGGTATAATGGAGATCAACGTGTTTTAGTGGACTCAGCAGTTTTCAATGTGCTTGTTTGAATCGTCTTCAAGAAGTGAGAGCAAGATCTAAAAGGTCAGACAATCTAACAGTGATCTCATCTCACAATCCTCACTCTTGCTGCATATGCGCCCTCCTTTGTAAATCACTGGCGGGTCTCAAGTTCCACAAGATTATCGCAGAAAATTTCATAACTGAATCAATTGGTTAAGTTGTGAAAGAAGTATGACAAAGTGGGAAAAGTTTTCCTATGACACGTTTCATCCTTTAGGACTTCATCAGACTAGGATATAAAAAAAAACAAATGAGACTGAGAGACTCACGGCCAGTCTAGTTTAAGTTTATGTTGTTGGACTACACATGGGCACGAACGAGAGACGCATGGAATTTTAAATTCAAAGGCGATTTCTCTTTTAAATGTGTGTTTTGGGTATATAAACTAGCCGGTTCAATTTAGATTCTTTTTTCTTTGTTTGTGTCTCCATCACTTTTACTATTAAAGCCGGGATCGAAACCGACTGATTTAGACGTATTTATTTTTAGATAAACACGCCAGGAACTGGAGAACTCGATTCGTCTTAACGAAGAGTCTTGCATGGTCACTTTTTACAAATGTATTTTTCTCCCCAAAAGCTCAAGAGCTCAACCGAAAATAATTTTTTTCAGAAAGAAATACTATATATATATATATGTTACAATTATATATTCACTATATATATATATATATATATATATATATATATATATGATAAAAGGCAGAATGTGTGTGTGTTCGTTTATATGTTTGATCGGATCTCCTACATTTTTCAACCGATTTCAACCAAATTTGACACAGTTACTGCTAATGGTCCTGCAGAAATTTTGACGGCGCCAAAATTGATTTAATTCAATATTTAAATCAATATTATCGATTTTTCATTTTTGATCGGACACATGCGTGTGTAATTATGTGCGTTCACTGCACACAAGCAGATATGGGCACTTTTCATATCAGAATTAATGGCGGTAGCATAATTATAAAAAAGTCAGATTTAAGTGCTTATATGCGAATAAGAAAGGACAAGAATGACCATATTTGTGTTTCGGATGCAAAAGTTATGACAATGAAGGATTTCTGTCGCGGCCCAACTTTGCGCTCCAAAAGCCAATCGGATTAGTGTTATTAGTCACGCGTGGCTCACGCGATGCGTAATGCCTGCTGCTGATTGGCCCATTCATGCTCCGGGGTCATGCGAGATCATGTGTGAACGACGGTGGGGGTGTCACGTGTTCGCGCATCAAGCATCCCAAATGGGTTAGAGGTTTCAGGTAGCCTACTTTTATTTCAGGATTTAACACTCATACCATGCTTTTTTAAAAGGATCTTTTAATGTTTCAATGCAGGCATGCATTACTTTCCAGGTTTTCTGCATTTGCACAGTCAAGGCCATTTTAAAAGAGGTACATGTCAAATTTTGCCAGAAAAATCAGCCATTTCACGCCACCACTTTTAAGACAAGTGGACAGAATCAGCTCCCCCCAATTGTCCAATTTTTTCACATTTAATTGCTTTTTATCATTCGAGGGAACACCGGGGGACTGTTATATCTTTTCATGCCGTTTACGTGTAGCAAAAGGCACCTACTCGAGATAATTTTACTTCTGTGCATCGCTGCCCCCAAAAGTTCTCGCATGTTTTCATCTAAATTCGTGCTACTTAAATGCCTTCATTATCCATCAGTAAATGAAATTAACATTGCTTCAAATTTTGTTCGTAGGAATGGTAAAAACGCTTGTATTTTCAACTTTTGATTAATAAAACTACCTCATATCTCTTAGCTGCTCAAAATTTTCAAAGAAAAATGAAACTTCAAAATCCCATTTTCTGATTGGCTGACTTTGAGAGACTGCGCTACATCGGTGACAACGTAAAGCAAAAAGGCAATGCCTATTTTGGGATAAGGAACTACATAGCTTTCATATTTATCAATAAAAACCCGATACAATAAAGTCGCCAGATACTATTTTGAAATGATATCCGCCACTGTGCACTGCTTTGACTAACCCAGCTGGAGGTTAACCAATCGCGTCAACTGTTCAAGGTTGCTGCGAGCTCATTGGCATTGTCGCAAGCGTTTAACCATGGGCCTATCGAATCATACGCGCGAGCAGTTCTCTTAGGCACGTGTGTGCACGTGCGTACGTACGTCACCTTAGTATGTGCGCTCAAGGTCAACCGGCCAAGCGCCTCTTTATACCATAACTCGCACGCCTGTTCACACTTCTGCGCTTGCTGTCCCGCACTTGGCTCACTTCATTCGCTTCTTACGGAAACCGCAAATTGTTGATTACGTATCCAAACTATTTTTTTTTTGCTTCTTAGTTATAACTACATCCGTTTCTGCGTTTATCGAATTTACTTTCCAAATTACCTACTACTGTTTTAGCTTTAGTTGAATTTTTTAAACGTCACTTTTTTGTTTTCAATCCCCTTTTGATACATACATTTTTGGGATCCCTCTAACCTGCCTACGTTTAGACTACACTCAAAAAACCTACATATCTTTTATAAGGTTTGTTTTTACCAAATTGGCTAAAATACCGCCTAAAAGAAGAAAACTTTTTGGACGGCGCACGGCTGCTGCCTTCGCTACAAGAGCAGCAAGAGCAAGTGAAACCACAGAGCAAACTTCGTTACGCCTTTCTCAGATGGCCTCACGCTCTGCTGCCTGCGTCTTCACGGAAACTACTGCTGAATGGACTGAAAGGCTGGCATCAGTAGCATCAGTTATGTCATCACGACGCGCTAGACTTTCAACTGAAGAGCGTTTAGTACAGAATTCACAGGACGCAATATGCGTTTCTAGGGCCAGGGCTTCCGAGTCCCCAGCACAGACAATCCTTCGACGTTCAAAGAATACCACCGTTACAGCTTGTTCTAGAGCTTTAGAAAGCCCTGAACAGACCACTTCGCGTCGTCTTAGGAATGCTAGGGCAACGGCATCTTCCAGGGTTTCGGAACCACCTCAACAAACCGCTATTCGTCGTTTAAGAAATGCCAGTACTACTGCGTCTGCCAGAGCTTTAGAAAGTCCTGTGCTGACCGCTAATTGGCGTTTGAGGAATTTCAGATATACTGCGTCTGCCAGAGCTTCAGAAAGCCCTGGGGTACGGCTAGCACGGCTCAACAACAATGACCAAATCGCAAGGACAGACGCTCAGCGTCGCGGGTCTGCATTTAGTTGAACAGTGTTTCGCCCATGGACAGCTTTACGTAGGCTGCTCCCGAGTCGGGAGTAAGGATAACGTTTACGTTTACTCTCCAAAAAACAAAGCTAAAAATATTACCAACGCAGAAGTCCTATAGCCCATGGTCGGTCACGTTTAAACGCAATGCACACATCTTTATGTCAGCTGCATCGTCGGTTCCTTCATTTTTGAACCCCGTTTATTTAAATGTCGTCGTAGTATCCACTTGCCATTAATAAGACATTTCATTAAAGGCTGCCTTGCTCACTAGATGCTCCCTTATCACTTAAGCTCCACCATAGCTGCATTCGCACTTACATGTCGAACACGTAACCATATTCAATTGCAATACAAAACCAATACATGGGAAGGTGGATTCGTTTAATTATCAGGGGAGCCGAGTGCGTCCACGCAATTCAGACCTAAGTAAAAAGAAGTGGAACAATAAATGAATAGCAGCATGCAGAGTTATAATATGCATTCTTTTCCGTATACTGTTGGTGTGTTTCTCTCCTTACCATAAGGGCTGATTTAGATAACCCCACGTGCGCTTCATGCTCACCTCAACTGGCTATTAAAAACTACAAAAAATTTTGTGTCACTTACAAGTACTCGCCCCAGCAACTTCCCATACTTCTGTTATGTGGTTCTGTTTGCGGTAGTGGCAGTGCCGTCTTTTGGGCAAAAGACGCGTCTACCTTTCACGCTACTGAGTTTTACTACGTTGCAACTGACACAGGGCTTCATGTAATGTCTTGCCCTCAGGGATAATAAAGCCATCAGATCAGAATACAAAGCCATCTGCTGCAACTCACCAAAAACTTCCTAAGGCCCGTGTTCGTATTGAACTTGACAACATCTAATTGGAGGTGTCTTAGTAATGGCAAATGGCTGATGCTACCATGGCTGTCAATTGCATCCTTTTAAGCCTTGCAATGTTTTCTTCCGTTGTGCTGATAAATACCGACAACTTGTGCACATTACGTTTTTTACGTGGGCGGCCATCAGTTCTACTGGACTTCAGCCTTACATGCCTGTACAAAATGAATATGGCGGTTATAACCTTCCATTCAGAAGAAGTTTACTATCGGGCAACGCCGGGCTTTACTGCTAGTATATATATATATATATATATATATATATATATATATATATATATATATATATATCTGTGTGTGTGTCATTGAAACCTAATCGATTTGATATCAGTCAGAGTTTCGACAAAATGGAACAACTGAATCTAGCGCATTGTTTTTATGAATGTATACAAATGCCAATCAGCATATATATATATATATATATATATATATATATATATATATATATATATATATATATATATATATTAATGAATATACATAATATCCAACGTCGATATCACGACTCGGAATTTCATGCAGTTCTTGCAATATTCAGGTGCAAATATAATCTGAAGATTGCAGAACTGCATGAAACTTGAGTCGCTATATCGACGTTGTCGTAATATCGATATATACTTATAGTTCTGTTTCATAACACTGATATTCACCTGTGAAGTAATATATTTATACGTCTGTTTCATAACATTGAGCACTTTTATAACATTTTTATTTTTATATATATATATCCATATATATATATATATATATATATATATATATATATATATATATCAAATGAGAAAAGAAAAGATGGAGTACAATTCCATTCTTCGTAGCATTTACTTTTAAGTAGTGCAATAGATTATTATTATTATTATTATCATTATTATAATTATAAAACTCTTATAAAAATAGTTATATATATTTTCCGTTTATACGTTATTTTTATAGATACAATTATATAAGTAAATGTTCTGTTTACAATAAACAGTATTAACCGGCCTGAATGTTCGAGGAATTTCTTAGAAAATATGCGTCCTCCGATAGGAATCGAACCTGCATCCTACACGGAAACGTCATACAGTCTGACGTGCTATACCAATTAGCTGCAGGGGAATCGTTTGGTTAACCACATCAAGTTACTGTTTTTAAACAACACATTTCCCACGATCTTATTGTAAACATAGCATTTACTTAAGTAATTATACCTATAAAACTAAGATATAAATAGAAAATATATTAAAATAACTGTCGGACTTAGGCCATTTCATAATATATGTTGTCATTTGTTTACGTGATGATACCAAATAGAATCATGATGAGAAAAATGTGAAAAATCTAGAAAACTTCTGCAACTGTTAATTGTACCAAGCAACCAGTCCAATTCTACTAGATAACATCAGTAATTTAACACCGGAAAAAATAACCACGAAAAGAGTCCAACTTCATTTTTATTTCTTGTTGAGAAAGGACACAGATTTTCTCATCATACTTTAATTTGGTCAAAGGACCTACTAATATACAGTGTGGACTGAAAGTCTTCTCACTCATACATAATATATTTTTCTATTTTACATAGCTGACACAAGCTCATACAGTTTGGAAGGGGGAGAGATAGGAGCGAGAAGACTTTCAGACCAACCTGTACAATATGTCTTATTATCAATATTATTAGCGTAATTCCACAGGTATAATACGCGTATTTTGTTTTAAAATAGTAAGCAAAATCAGGGGTTCGTTACAAATAATCTTTAAAAAATTGCCGTAAAATAAAAAAAGAATTATCATAAAACTAAATAAGAATTATATTATTTTTTAAATAAGAGTATGAAACGCTGGCCGTAATGACATTGGAGAGGTACAATTTATAGGGTTTCATTACCAAATAAGGGGTGCGTGTAATGCATGAGTAGAAGCATTTTGCCACACTTTCAGCACAATTTTAGGTGTGCGTATTATGGATGAAGACGTATTATGCATGGGGAATTACGGTATTGATGTTGTTTCTTTATCTCGAATTTTTTTCATCAGCCTACTATATCTGCACACACACACACACAGATGTATATATATATATATATATATATATATATATATATATATATATATATATATATATATATATCAAAGGAAGAGGTTATAGTAGTTCCAACGAGAGAAAAGTTGTATATTAAAATAAATGAGAAAAACCGCAAACGTTTTTTCGGAAATGTGGATGTTTTTTTTTTTTTTTTTAAATGTTATGCTTTATTTTCCATAATTTTGTTACACGTGTTTCCGTGGAGATTTTTACATATTATTAAAAATAATTAATTTCTTTCTTATGTTTTTCGATGTTAAATATTCTCGATATGAGATATTCTCTTTTTAGTGTGTTAGTGACTTGAACTGGCCCCTTTGCCTGATGACGGTCGCGAGACCGGGAACCCGTGTAGCACAATTATGGAAAATAAAGCATAATATTTAAAAAAAAAAATCAGGCTATACGACGGTCCCGTGTTGGATACAGGTTCGATTCCTTTCGGAGGATGCATATATATTGTTGTGGTAGGCTCCACCTAATTTGCATAGTGGAGTACCGACCATATAAATATGGTTGGTACCGGGAAGACAGGGGAGGAATCAAGAGATTCAATCCAGAGACTCTGCCCGACTGCGATTAAGTCAACACATTCTCCAGGAACGGTCTTCCCAAGAATATACAAAAGACTATATGTAAATATTGTGTACACTTTCTTGTTTCAATACATTTTGTTCTAAGTACATTTTGTGTTGCATTATTATTCCATGCATTAGTCAAGTTTCAACATATATATATATATATATATATATATATATAGAGAGAGAGAGAGAGAGAGAGAGAGAGAGAGTCGTGGCTTTAGGGGGCACAGTCCTATGGGTAAAGGAAACTTGGATGAGTTCAACCACGGAATTTGTGAATGAGCGGCGCAATATCGAGTCTAGTTCGGCACCTCTTCGTCAGGCCTGTTAGTACAGTTGGTATGACGTTTGCCTGTCAATGTAACTGTCCGTGTTTCAATTCTCCGTACTGGATGAGGATGAGTCCCAAATATAGGACGAAACGTGTTTCTGCATTCTGTTGAGGTTTCTTCAAGACTCAATATATGTATATATGTATATATACGTGTGGAATATGTTATATACATTTATATATGTTGCTGTTATGTTTAGCCAAAATGGGCCCAGGGCCATATGCATGCTGTAGAAAGAAGCTGTGCCAGTCATTCTCGTTTAATTCCCGTCTAATCCCCTTTCACGTTTGTTATTCATTTTAACACAACCATTTCTCGCACCTGCCTCTCTGCACTAACCTTTGCAGACACGAGGTCTCATCATACCCGTACACTAGACTTGTGTCATTGGTTTGATAATATTTACATGTTTGAGATTAAAATGAATAAGTAAGTCGAAATACAGGGTGTTTCAAAAAATTTGATATCATTTCGCAATCTAATAACTTTGTTAGATCTCCTTCAAATGACTTCAAATTTTAATAGCATCTTTATGTTTAATGTTTGTTTTATGTTTTTATGTCTTTATGTTTTTGTGTTTTTCTTATTTGTATTTTTTATATTCTTTAATCTTTAATCTTTTTCTTTACAGGTATAAAAACATGCTATTTACTAGAAAGAAAAAGGCGTTTTCAAAGAGGAAGGCTGTCTGTGCAGTCCGTTCACATTTGTGAAATCCACATGCTTTTTTGAATTTCTCATTCAGATTTGGAAGAATAAATCTTATGATCTTCAACATTAATACTTTCTAATTTCATTTGCCTTAATCATGTACTTTCTGTGATATTTACATCTCAAAGGATATCAAATTTTTTGAAACACCCTGTACATTAAAGGAAAATGAAATTTGTTGCGTAATAGAATTACAATCGAAAAAATGCCTTCCTCTAAATGTCATCGAATGTTATTATTGACTAGCAGTAGAACCCGGCGTTGCCCGGGGATGTAACAGTAAGAGATAGATCAAGTATCGACCATCATAAAGACTGAAAAATAAAATTGAGATTATTGTTTAAGGTTGACGGACAAGCATGTCTTAATTATTTTTTTTTTTTTTTTACGAATTTGTCAAACCTAAACTCAAACAAA